TATTCATCCAAACTAACAACATGCAACCATTAAAATTCAAAATGACCAATTCTCCCTTCAAGAGCAATTAAAAACTCAACATAAGCATTTTACTTCATAATCATCATCTCAACCACAATTTCAATGAAAATCAAGTAGCATGCAGCTCAACAATTCATCAAGAATCATGTTTTAGCTTTCCTAACCTAAGAATCAATCAAAAAAGAGGATAAAAAGGAGGGATCTATTGAGATGATTTTGCACTACAACCTCCACAACTCGATTCCCAATTCTCCAATTCCTTGAATCCCAACTCAGCAACTTAAGCATGCTTTAGGGAAGGATCTAGTTGCTCATAGAGTCAGTAGAAGAAAAAAGATTTCCTCGACTCCAAAATGCTTATCTCTAGACTTTTTCTTTAAGTTCTTAAGAAATGAACTTTTGAAGTCCATTTCTTAAGAAAGATCTTATATACCTCCCCCTTAATGGGTCAACCTTAATTTCTGCTCAGAACAACCTTCTAAACAACAAGATTCATTAAAATTCTTAAAATTTTTACAACTAAAAAATGACTATTTATAACAACATTTAAATTAATAAAAATCAACAATTAATAATAAAATTCACTAAAATCATAGTGTAACAAATACTTATTATTAAAAAAAAATATATTTAACACTCTTAAACTAAAAATATCCCTAAAACATAAACAGAAGTACCATTTACGATAAATGTTCACTTTCTTAAGAGATAGTATAATTTATATGAAATTTTAAAAATTAAATATATTTAATTATATTTTTAGTATGAATGAAATTAGTATTTTATATTTATATATACATGGAATAAAGAATAATAGTTATAGATACTGGATAGTATTTGAGTTACTTTCTCTGTTTATTTGCCCAGCCCATTCGGGAAAAGAAAAGGAGTTGCTTTCTCTCACTGTGAGTACATTTCTTTTTATTTTTTTATTATTTAATTTATTATAAATAGATATTTATTAATGATAAAAAAAATAAATTAAAAAAATGATATTATTTAAGTTATTATATATGTATTATTACTCTTTAAATAATTAATTTAATAGTAATATATTTACGATGTAAAACAATTTTAACTTTGAATTATAAATATAGGTGCATTAAGAACTTAAATAGAAAACTTTATTGCTATAATAATCTCAGTCGACACAAATAAAATTTTCTACAATAAAAGATATATGTAGTTTAAAAATTATAATAAAATTTCTTCGTTGACGGAGACACTTACATTACATGTCTTCATGCTATAATTGACTTTAGACACTATGCCCCACCATCTCAGAAATGTAACCCCTTAATTTGAAAACGACTAGATTTGTTGCAGAATTAGGAAATACTACTACTTTTTACGTTTTTCTTTTCTTTTTTACAATGATGGTGATGGAAATTTAACTTTTTTTTACAGGATGAAATTTAAACTTAAATTAAATTTTTTTGAATTCGCGGTAATTAAATCAACCATAGTGAGTTTAGATATCTCGTACGGCAAAGTTTTTGAAATGTAAAATATTAGGGGAAAAATATGAAAAGCATAAAATATTATAATCAATTTCGTAAAAAAAAAAATTTAATAATATTTTGTTGAATATTAATTGATTGGAGAAATGTATGTATTAATTTAAAATTTAAATTTTTAATTTATAATATATATTAATTGAACTATTTTAGAAAATAAATAATATTAATTTTATTTTGAATTTGATTTATACGAAATGAAGCTTAGGATAACTCTAATAGTATGAGAATATATATATATATATATATATATATATATATATATGTTTTTGTGAGAGATAAAATAATAAAATCATTATTAAAATTATTAAACTTAAATTTAACAGTCGAATATTCAGGTTCAAAGTTTGAAAGATATCCATTAATTATGTCAGATAAAAGAATATATTTAAATATAAATTTTAAGTACTTAACATTAAAAAGTAAAAACTAACAAAATTAGTTTACGTTCAAATGTACCTTCTTCTTCTATTTTTTTTTTTTGAAGGGACGTTCAAATATACGTAACTGAATAAAAAAAAAATTAGATCGCACAATTTTTATGTGAATAAAATAGTAAATATAGAAGATAAGAATGCTACGGATAAAAAACTAATTACAAGTTAGAAATTTTTAGATAAAATATCACTTTTCATATTTAATTGTTAACCGAATGATACCGGATTTGACCGTACGTTTACTTGTCAAATTGAATAATATAATAATTCACGTAATACTGTCGGAATATTTTAATTAAATTCGTATAAAAATAAAAAAGAGAAATTCTATAATATCTTCAAAATTTTAAAATATTTTTAAACTATTTTTGGTACTTAAAAAAAATATGTGAACATTTGAAGTTTATAGAATAATTTGATTACATTTATTATTTTCTTAAAATTATTAAGACATATATATATATATATATATATATATCTATTACATAAAATATTTGAATTTATTAATGATATTTTTATATATTATGAAATTTTTCGTATTTATATGTAAATTTTGAAAAATAAATCAAATAAAAAATTAATAAAATTTGTCTCTATTTTAATAAATAAAATTTTATTATATTTTTCAAAATTATTTTTATTTTTATAAAATGATTTAAAATACTTGAGTTAGTATTTAGTGGAAAAAAAGTTAATTATTTATTTATCAATGACATATCATTTAGTAAAGTGAAAAAGTATAAAAATAAAAAATATACTTTAAATAATTTTTTATTGATTTAAAAAATTGAGTATATTAAATTATTTTAATTTAGAAGAATCCGGTAGCAATTCACAAATAAAAATTCAAGAATGCAATTCCATGTCCGGTGTGTGGATGGTACAGTGCCACGACACTAAGACCATAATAGCCAGATGTCTATCTGTCTATCTCTAGATAAAATTCGTAGCGCATCTCTTTCCCCTCAGCCTTCATGCATTATAGCACATGTCCTCCAGATCACGAGTGATGCTTAAAATAATTTTTTTTATCAAAAATATATATTAATATTTTTTAACATGAGTTTTCTTTAATATATGTGTTTTTTATTTTATAAAATTGATAAGAAATATTTTTATTAGTTTACTTAAAACTTAAGTTTTTAATAATCCTAACTTTTTAGTTCGTCCCACAGTAGTATTATCTTCAGCTACATAAATTATCAGGTAGCTCCACATGATTATGGAATTTTCAATTTACAAAAAGAAGATATTAGCACATAATTAATTATATATTGAAAAAATATATTTACGTACTCCAAAATCCAAATATTATTAGACACTTAATTGATGAAATAATGACAAAGGAGAGGGGGAAAACGTGATAAGTGCTATGATATGATAAAATTAAAAATAAAAGTATGAGAAATATTGATGAAGTGTTTAAAAAGTTAGAATGTACAAAATCGTTGCTATTGTTATATTCTTTTGATTTTGTCATTTAATATATTTTCAGTTCACTGAGATATAAGATAATTTTGCTCGTGCGGAGTAGGGATAACAACGGAGGTGGGTTGGGTACGGGTTTCATGATATCCGTCTCTGTTCTCGTGAGTTAAATTTATCCTGTTTCTGTACCTGTACTTGTCGGGTATCAGGTATATTCGTTCCTATTGGGTATCGGGTATACCCGTTTCCGTACCCGTACCCGTACCTGTCAAATTTTTTGTTTTTTTTTTATAAAAAAATTTGATATTTTTTAATTATTTTTTTTATTATATGATAATTATAATTAAGTTATTTCTCTATCTCATATTATAATAAATAACTACACATAAAAAATATTAAAATTCTTTAATATAATTAAATTAAAAGTAGGTATTAAATTAAAAATGGAAACAAGGACGAATATAGTACGAGTACGGGGCGGGTAAATATATACCCGTACCCGTACCCGTACCCGATTTAAAGTATCAGATTTTACCAATACCTAATTAAATTGAGTATTTTTTGTCAAAATCGAGACGAGTTCAGATATTACTTACGGATACATGTATATTTACAGGTATATTTACAGAGTCTTTTCACACAAAGTTGGGTTGTTTCACCCAACCGATTGATTATGGAAACATTTTTTAATGATTAGAGTTGTTTTTATTTATTTTCATTTTGGACTGTTAATATAAGTCTTACCTGTAAATACAGTGTCACCTAATGTCACGTTGTTTTTTTTTTTTATAAAAAAATTAACTTTAAGTGTGACATGTGATGTTGTAAAGTAGGTGACGCTAAAACCACGTGTAAGATCACTATTAACATTACAACTCTAGCATTACTTTTTTTTTACTAATTCTACAAGTGACTTTGTTTATTATAATATCGTCTTATTATTTTAATTATTTTTAATGCTGCTCTTTTAGTGTCACTGTTCTCGGTATAGACTAATGAAGATAGTGAGATGAATTAAAAAAAAATTAAAATAATAAGGAAGTACTATAGAAACAAAGTCACTTGTATATATACAAAAGAAACAAATGACGTTGGAATACATTGCACGCAATTCCAACGTCACCAATACAACATCAATTTAAAGCTAATTTTTTTTATTATATAAAACAGTTACATGATTAGGTGACATTGTGTTAACAAGCAACACTTACATTAACAATCTTAAAGTGGGGATAAATTTAAAAACAACCCTAATCGTGTAAAATATTTCTATAATAACCTTAATTAGGTCAAAAAGTCCATAAAATCTTTAAACACAAGACATGAATACAAGATGATTATAAGTTTATTTGAATACAAGCTATAAATACTTTCGAGAAATTCTCTAATAAAATTAAATAGTATTTTTAAAAAACTAAAAAATATTTTTAAACTTATACTTAATTAAAATACGATTTCAATTGTTATAATCTTTAATTGATTTCTTAATTAGGAGTTGAAATCATGATGGTGTGATTTCACGTCCATAATTTCTCTCACATTTGCTTATTTAAACCCCAACTGATCGATGGCAGCCACACACACATGCTTCTTTACTTCGTTTTCCTTCTAGTTGTAGCATCTAGTTATTCTTTCCCACCCATGGTTGTTGAAATGATTAGTTTAGTGTAGCTTGGTGAAAAGAACACCCATGATTGTTCTTTCCCCAAGTTGCATTAAACGAGTCATTTGCCGTGAAGACATGCAGGCCATCAAGCATGTTCAGATCCTGAGGCCAAGACACTCATATGTCGAGGCCAGCCAACAGTTTCGTTCGTTCAAGCTAGTCAACCATGGTTTTCCATCGAAGTTGATGATCAATTTGGATAATAAAGCCTTCAAGTATCTCATGCAACCAGTCTCAAGAAAGATATAAGGCAGGTGTTTCTAACCCTTGTGACTATAACAATAAGAGAATTGATACAAAATGATGATGTGGATTGGATTGAGTAATTCTTTCTCTACACCAACCTGATGTTGTATCCCTAAGTCACTTCTTCTTTATGAGCAAAATCCAGAAAATTTTAGGTAATATAGTTCTTAAAAAAACAAAAAGAAAAATGTTAATATTTTTAACTTAGTTTTGTTAAAATTGGAAGAAAAAAAAAAATATATAGAAGAGAGGGGAAAAAATAAACCCACAGAAATGGAAGAAAAAAAAAACAAAAACCAGGGGACTGTTATGATTTTTGTAATTGATTACCTATAATTTTCTGGGTCGTTTTTGTCATAAAGGATAAGTGATTTTGTGGATATGACATGAGAGTTGGTGTTGAGGAGGAGATACTCAAGCCAACCCTCATCACCGTTTGAGCCAATTCTCTTGCTGCCATAACCATAAGGGTCGGGAGGACCTGCCTTAATTATCTTTCTTAGACTGTGGTTGCATGAAAAACTTGAGGGTTTCATTTTTCAAATTGGTGACCAATTCCAATGGAACTAACACCATGGTTGAGTAGCTTGAACAAACCAAAGTGTTGGCTGAAATGGTATTGGTTGATCAGATCTCATAACAAATTTCCAATTGTTGGATCTATATATTGTGCACATGAGATTCGGATCCAACAACGCTTCAGTACTGCAAATCTGTGTGGAAGATGGGACTTGGTTTCAATCCCACAGGATCTAACTTCTTTTTGTCAATGTTGGTGACCTTCGGCAGGTACTGAACTATTTTCTATAATCTTTTTTTAAAAAAATTTTAAAAGATAAGAAAACAAAAAATGTTGGTTTATTACTTTTAACTAAGTTATTTTTTTTATTTAATTGATTCAATTTAATCTCTTTATAATTAGAATTCTTAAAAAATAATGTAGTATTGTTCTTTTCATCCAATTTTGACTAACGATATTAATTCTTTTTTTAATACATAACATAATAAAGTAACATGCATATAAAGAAATAATATCTCTCTTTTTTTCACCATATACACATTGTTAGTTAAAATTAGATAAAGACAACAACATTGTAACGTTTTCAGAAATTAAAAATCTTAATTAAGCCAAGTCATTACGTGTAAAAAGAAATAATACTGTTAGTCAAAATTAGATAAAAACGACGAAATGGTTTTTAGAAATTAAAAAATTAAATTAAATTTTAATAATTAAAGAAATTAAAATGAACCAATAATTAAATAAAAAAGGCAAAGATAATTTTTTTTTCTATCTGTAAATAAGAGAGGAAATCAAGACACAGAAATACGGAATCCAATAGGCAGGAATGGTGCAGGATAATATAAGAAGTTTTTGACAAAATAAACTATAAAGGAATATGAGAAGAAATATTGTACGTCTATGGTGGAGGATAAAAAAAATAATATTAAAAATAGATAAAAAAAATAATGTTAGAAATGTTATATACGGTGATACAAAATAATATTATTATAAATATAATATATAGATATAATTTTATTTGATATATAATTATACATAATTTTAATATTAATTTTAAATTAGATTTAATGATATATATTATAATTTATATTTACATTTTTTAAGTAATATGTCAAATAAATAAATAAATATATATATATATATATATATATATTATTTATAATGTAGGTGACAATAAGTCAATAATTCTTGATAAATATTATGATACTAACTGTAAGGTATATCTCATGACAATTATTTTTAAAACAATCATAAAGAATGTGGGTACAAGACATATACATCTAAACAATGTGAGGAAAAGAAATAATAAAATAAGTTATAAAAAGTTATGCCTGTTGAAATAATAAAGGATGTGAGAGAAAGAGTATCTAAAAAGTTAAATTATAAATAGTGTAAAGTAATAATATAACTAAATAAAATATCAATTTACAAGATGACAGTCCATTTTTATTAATTTTGGGATGAAACAGAAAGTGTGTTCCTCCTCCCTAGAAGGCTGTCTTTTTCCCCATATTCTGCCAGCAATCAATTTGTTGTTTTTCCCCCACTGCTTTTACCTGTATTACGCGTGGATGTGCCTGTGTTAGAAAACATGTATATTTTCATGTAGGAATTTCACCAAAGGATATTTAGTTACTATTTACTATTTTTATGGCTGTGCTTAATTCACAGGGAATTTAGTTGAATGAGTACAACCATGTCAAGATTCTCAATTATCTACTTTGGAAGAACACACTTGAATGAAAAGATTCCTGATTGCTCCTTCACTCGTGCCAAAGGAAGAAGGGAGAGATCATTTGTTCTAAGAATTAACATGGCAGGAATACAAGAATTCTTAAGAATTCTTTGTAATTCTTTGTATTCTTGTATTCTTTCCATGTTAAATCTTCGTACAAACTACAAAGAGGGATATAATTGAGAGAGGAGAATGGAAAATCATGTGTTTTGAGAAATCTGCTGATCAGTGAGGAGAATGCAAAATCATGTATGCTTCATTGTGAGAGTGTGCATATCGGAGTTAGAGTTACTAGTTTCAAAGTCTGCCTTTACGTCAGCAAATATCTAAGGTAAATTATTAAGTTTTTTGTTACTATTATTAGCTATAAATATATTTTTAATCGCTATAAAATAAATAAATTTTAATTTTAGTCTTTATTAAGAAAAGTATTTTTCATCCTTATAAAATTTAAAACTATTGTTTTTTATGTTATTATGTTATAATTTTAACTATTTTTTATTTATCAAATGATCAAGTAATTTTCAAGTGTTGTGTAATACTATGTTAATATGTGACACCTCTTGATTGTTTTATAGATTTTTAAATTAAAATATTATTAATCAATCTTAAAATTATTATTAGAAATAAAAATAGAGATTTTAGACTAGAGGAATGAAAATAAAAAATAAATAAAAAACTAGGAAATAAAATCAAAATTTATTTATTTTACAATGACAAAAAATATTTTATAAAGACCAAAAATAGTGCTTACAAATTTTATAAGGATGTAAAATAAAGAAAAAAATATTACAGAAATTAAAATCAAAATTCATTCATCTTACAAGAATTAAAAATATTTTATTATTACTATTGCTTTTACTACTAGAAAAAAAAAATTTCATATCTCTATATATTATTTAACTATAAAAAATTGAGAGATAGAAATAAAGTAGTTGCGAAAAATTTTAAAAATGATTGCGTGATTGTGGAAGAAAATTAGAGATGGTTTGGATAAATTGAGAATAAAATTTTCTTAAAAAATTATACACCAAAAAGATATCTATTTTATTATTAGTATAAATTATAATAATAATAATAATAATAATAATAATAAAAGACATTAAATGCCTACACTATATTAAAAGAAAAAAAATGTTTATGAGCAATTATTTATGAATAGTTTTAAAATAAAGTAAAAAGTGAGTAGTTTCAAAATAAAATAAGAGACATTGATAGAAGATGATTTTATGGAGTTGTAGCAAATAAAGGTAAATTCTCTGACGGACCACTTGAACAAGTGGTGCATGGGTGGTGAATGAATAATGACCGTAGATTAAATGTTAAAAAAAGTAAACGGTTGAGATTTAATTTAATGAGTAAGTTTTAACAATTGCAGAGTAGTCCTTTGAAATTTTTTATTCAGGGACATTTTGTATTGTCTAGGGTTCCGTTTAGCAGGTGGGGGTGTTACGATTGTGGCGGTAGTTTGTTGGCAACCATGGGTGAAGTAGGCCGGCGCACGAGTAAAAAATAACCAATCTTAAAAGTCTTTTTTCTACTAGTGTAAGTAGGGAGTGAGAAACCTCGCTCGGGGGTGTGGGAATAATTGTTGGGTAGTAGGATTAGCCCCCAATCCCTTGCCTAATGCATGCTTCTAGGAACAGGCAAAATATGAATGTTTTCTATTTTGCCTTCTGATTGTTCTGTTGTGTTCCTTATTGGATGTGATGTATGAATATATGATTAATTTTGAAAATAAACAAGTTTTGATATGAATTAGAGTGCCCTATGGGTTCATGTGGGAATCCTATGAGAAATAGGCAAATTTCCAATGCTTTCTGTTTTATCTTTTGAGTTTTCTGTTGCATTTCTTATGTGATGTGGATTCCTGTGCGAAACCCTATGAAGGACAATTATGAGTATGATTATGAGAAATGTGAAATGTGAATATGATGAGACAATGTGAGAAGTGAATATGAGCATGACGAGGATAAGAATCTCCAAATGATGATCTTATGAGTATGACTATGTGAAATGTGAACAAATGACATGAGGCATGATGTGAATGACGTGCTATTGTAAGCATTATGACTATGAGAATGTGAAATGTGATGAAATAAGATAAGACATGAAAGTCTATGACAAGTAAAGTGATGAGTTCATGAAGTGTGAATGTGTGTGACATGCATCATGTGCATCTATGTGAAGGGTACGATGTGGAGTACACTGTTAGGAAAGGCCCTCCTTGTGTAACATCTTGGGGGAGTCCTAGGGGATAGTGCGGTTTGGATGTCTTGATTCTGCCCGTTTGTGAGCACGAGACGTAACTTGCGCAACTTTGCTATCCCGACCAGACCCTAGCAGTACATCCTTCTAGTTAAGAGTGTATGGGTAACTCCCTACATGTACTCCTAAACTACCTTAGGTGTATTGTTTAGGCAGCACACCAGTGATATGTGATATGTGACTGGCGCCACATGCATGCATTTATGAGTCAAGTCCATGACATCATTGCATGATGAATGACTGTGCATGTGTTACTATTGTATGTATAATTGGAATTTTCACCTAATTAATGTGTAGCTATGACTATGCTTGTTATGATTTGTGTGTGTATTGCCTAACTGTTATTTTTACACCTGAAACCGAGTGAGGTGTTTTCTCACTCCCTTGTTATTCTTGTATGTGTTTAAATTTTGTTGTATGTGATCATCAACATGAGGATGTTGAAGTTTAGTAAAGAACACATAGAAGGGGAGGTTGAATATGTGTGTGTGTGAACAAAGTCATTTTAAAAAAAACTTTTCGCAAGAAGACTTTCTTTCGTCCTGTAAAATGATGTTAGTGAATGTTAAATAGGAACTACCCAGGTTTGGTTTAACAAAATCATTTTGCGTCTGGGAATTTCATCGTCTGCTTAGATAAGATGCTTCTTAAGAGAAAATCGTTCTTTTGAATAATTAATTTAACAAGTGTGGTTTTCGTCTAAAGATAGTTTTAATAGATGATAAGCATTAAATGAAGTTTTCATCATCTTAGATCAATCAATTAAAAGTGCATTTAATATATGAGTTGTGCAAATATTTTTATACTGGTTCGCTCAAACTGAGCTACGTCCAATCTCCTTCAACTAAAGGGTTCCACTAGATGTTCAATAAAGTACAAGTATTATTTGTTCAGCCTCTTCAAGCTTGTAGTGAGTATTATAGACCACTTAGGTCACGACCACTCCTGGTCCCAAGTATTCTCAACCACTTCTGGCTTGTCTGCTTCACTCACAGAAGCTAGTATTCTTAAACCACTTTTGGTTGCCCAAGTATTCTCAACCACTCCTGGTTCGTCAACTCCACTTACTGACACTAGTATTCTTTGATCAGCCACTTCTGGCTCCTAGTGAGTATTATCGACCAATTCCTGGCCCGCCAACTTCACTCACTAGCGCTAGTATTCTTTGTTCAGCCACTTCTAGCTCCTAGTGAGTATTATCGACCAACTCTTGGCCCATTGACTTCACTCATCAATGCTAGTATTCTTTGATCAGCCACTTCTAGCTCGCAGTGAGTATTCTTTGACAAGCC